ATTCTGTGCCCAGAGGCATATGAGCAATTAGTATGAGCATCAAAGATCAGTTTCAGCTACTTTTTCTTTCCTAAATTAATCAATATTTTTGGACTAGCTAATCTGTTCATTTAATCAATGGTTCAATTGTTCACTCATAAAGACAGTCACTTGTCGCCGCCTTCTGGCTTAATGATGCAAGTTGCGCAAACATGAACAAGCGGAGTGATACAAACAGTGAAAAGTCGAACACATTCGAGGTAACGTTATACAAATATATTACAATAATAATGGCAATATATTTAATATGGTGCTTGTGTTGTTAAATTGAGCTTATAGTATCCACTGTCTTTGATCAAACTGAGTATTTCTGTCGATCATTTAAAACTTCTATCGACAAACAGCTGTTTAGATTAGCTGCATCTGATCTCGCACTGTATGCCCGTTAACTGAAGCGTGAAGCGTCGCATTGGAATTCGCGCTCGGCTTGCGCTTCTGTGAACATAAATCCCACTTGCTTTGATTGGACTCAAACATTTTGACATTGACGAGCGGGTCAGTGCTGAAGCAGCTCAGACGAGAAGGTCATCGTTGCGATGGGCGAATCATTGCAGCACCAAATTCGAGTTAATATTAGCCAATTATTTCATAACTTTCATTATATACACTCAACAAAATTTATATATTTGGTGCTGAAGGAGACGGAGCTGAGCTCCGGCAGGGTGTGTTGTGGACCCGAGGAGGCGGAGCTGCGCTCCGGTGCGCTCCGCCCCAATTTAACCTATGGTTACAAGCCCCCTTTCTGGTCTAGGGGCAGGAAAGGAGGGTAACAAAAAGTTGCAGGGAGAGAGTGAGAGATTTGACCCATAAACATCTGCTATTATTAACGGAAATCAGTGTGGTCAAATAGCTAGGCGCATTGTAGGAAACTATAGGCCGATTAAGTAGTCCTGACATATTATGGAATGGTCGATTTTCTTTTGTGCAATTTAGTAGCCTACATTTCGGTATGGGATGTGCTGTTTTATTGGTCAGCGTGGCGCTGGTGAGATTAGTTCCCTCCCGCCGCTCTGACCATTGGCTGGCGCAAGCAAACACTTCTCCTGCGCTGTCGAGTCTGTCGCGCTCGTGCGTCTTGGTCCATTGAGCCACGCAGATTACAAGTCAGCGCAGCGCGAACTCTGTAACACACCGCGCCGTTTCGTCCCCCTTTCGGTGTGTTTGGCTTCCCACACTTATGTGTGTTTGTTTGTCAGAGCCTGCAGTTGCTGTGTGACGCGCGTTCGCGGTGGGCATGTCATGACGAGCTGGACGCGCTCCGAGAAAAGGCCGTTAATATCGATTCCCTATTTGACCATTAAGAATTTCGAATAATGAGCGACTAAATGTAGGCTCATAGTCGTATTTCACAAGCAGCCGCGCCGCAGCCATCATCACCGAGCGTGAACCATTGACCGTGAATGAAACGAAACGAACGCACAGGCCATAGTGTGACATGCATAAACCAATGGTGTAAACATAATCATAATAGATGACGCCACGGGTTTTTACTTAAAAGAAAGAACGTAGCCTACGCAATTTATATTCACAATACTTACTATAATAAATGTATATTATTTTATTGCATTTGTATTAGTTGTTTGAAGAGTAAAAAAAAAATCGGTCGGTCTTAATGCAAGTTTACAACCGGCAAGTCGGTCGGACTAAAAGAAAAAAAAAAAAAAAATTGGGTCGGTCCTAATTTGACAGGGTCGGTCGGGTTACGGCAAACAAGAATATTTTTAAGGATGGCCCTAAGCCTCTTCTCGTCAACTAACGTTTAGTTGACTATTAGGGGGCAGCCCTAGTTATCATCCATCAGATCTGAGGCACTGTGACCACCACTCACAAAGTTAAACTGTTATTATGATTATTATTGTTGTTATTAGTAACAACAACAACAACAACAACAAATGTGTCTTATTGCAACTTTTAGGTTGTAGGTTTACAACAACTTCAAGGTAACAGGTACCAGTGCAGTGTTTCCGCTACATTCATTCTGCCGTGGCGGGCCGCCACACCTAAAATCATCCCGCCACGGCTGCAGCTTCTCGGTTCGATATTGTATGTGTTATTGTTAAGCCAAAACATTGTAAAGCACCATAAAGTTTTCGCACTATATTCCAAGACTTCTAAAGTCATTCAATAGCATAATGTGAGGTAAAAATGTATATTTAAGTCGTTAAGTTAAAGTTAATGGAAACTCATCTCTCCATTCAGCATTCAAACAGCACGTCACGTTCGGTTACGACAGTAACACGACGACACTCTCTTCAAGATCAATGTTCCCATTATTATACTTTATTTGTGGATAAAGGTCTATAGTTTGCATAAAATTACTTTATCTTGCTGGAGTTTATAGCGCTTTCTAAATCATATTCCTTTCTCCCGGGTGTCTGTTACTACAGCACTAGAGTAGAGAGCACTATGAATTGTTCTTCATGCGCACTGTAAGTTAACTGAAATTTAAAACTGTTCAAAGAAAAGGGTTAATAAACTGTTGCATAGATATAATACATTAAGCATAGATAGATATAATCTCTTCGCTTTGTGCTTTGAACCTTTCAATGCGAAGCGCTGCACGCTGTGACTTCGCGTTGCTTCAAGTGCATCATTCTGCGCACGGGATCCGCATAATCGCTTTGCCGCTCTTATTGGCGCCTTTCATGTTATAATGGTTAGGGGAGGTTTAAACACCTGGGATAAGGGGGCGTGGCCAATGGGAATATTACTCATGGGCCACGCCCCCTCCCCCTGGCGAAATGGGCCTGCCACCACGGCTGGAAAAAATCCTAGAGGAAACACTGCCAGTGGTTTTATACTTCTGACATGTACTGGGCTGGCATGGATGCATTAAGTGTGTTTGCTAACAGCTACTGCTACTGTCTACAAAATGTAATAATAATAATTCATTACATTTATATAGTGCTTTTCTTGGCACTCAAAGTGCTTTACATAGAAGGGGGAATCTCCTCAACCACCACCAATGTGCAGCATGCACCTGGATGATGCGACGGCAGCCATATTGCGCCAGAACGCCCACCACACACCAGCTTACTGGTGGAGAGGAGACATAGTGATTAAGCCAATTGGTATATATATGGGGATGATTAGGAGGCCATGATGGACAGTGGCCACTGGGCAAATTTGGCCAGGATCCCAGGGTTACACCCCTACTCTTTCGAAAGACATCCTGGGATTTTTAATGACCACAGAGAGTCAGGACCTCGGTTTAACTCCGAAGGACGGACGTCTCATCCGAAGGACGGATGTAACCATGCCAAAACTCAAGTGTGGATTTGTAATGCATCAATTCAAGCTACAAGCGTAAGCTTTTCACTCTAATGCTTTGATTTCAACCAGAGCACATTAATCTGATCGCTCATAAAAGTTGAAAAATAAAATTGAAAATAAATAAATAACATCATACAATTCATGTTATCCTGTCAAACGGACATAAAATAATCCATTTGAAAACAATAACAACAAATAATACAGCATTGCACCTACTACGTAAAATATATCTATATTAGAAAAACACTGTTTCTGTCATTCTGCATTGATAAATCTATAGAATCTCCATTAAATAAATTCACAAATTCCTCTTTAAGCTTCCTGTTTTTCTGTGTGCATTTGGTCAGATGTTGCCAGTTGTGATTTATTTTAAGAGTTGTGGCTTTTAAGGCATAGGCCTAATTTACATTCGGCTGGGCAAGTGCTTAGACTTGATTCTTTCAGCAGGCATTAACCCGTGTCTTGGAAAAAAACGTCTGTGAAAACTTACATGCAGCACACCAAAATCGAACTTTTCAATTGGCATCTGAACAGTAGCAAGAATGGTCCAAATACAGACAAAACATCCAGTAACATCCTGAAGTAACTCTAATAGGCATTCAGTTGTGTAACACAAGTATACAACACAAATCCATAAACACGATTCAAACAACAATCAGGTGAAAAGTTCCTCATATCACTACAAGTAGGTCTATAATGGTTTATATGCTCGTCCCATTAGTTTACACCGATTCCTCTGAGAGAGCATGTGCAATGTGACCCATAAGATACAGTTTCTTATGTTACCCAGATGCTCATGAATATTTCTGCCTTTAGACTGATATAAATACCAAAGTGATGCGCTCAAATATAACATTGTATTGATTAATTGTCTCTGTAGCCAAAAGAGTGCAGTGCTGTGTGGGCAAGTGCGATCCAGAATGAAGGATGTAGTGGGAACACAGAGAACAGGCACAGATTGTGCCTCTTTTTTTCAATAAAACCAAAATTCAAACCATGAACACTGAGTCTGTATAGAAACATCCCCCGTTTGCCTTACTATTCCTTAAATATATTTCTGAATAAATATAACCATAAAGGTGCACATTAAATGTGCTCATGTAACTTCAGCCATATCTTATCTAATGTTCTCACATGCAAATGACCTTTGGCCTAGCCGGCCTCATCAAATGATTTTATTCCTTTTTAAACCACTCATGTACTAATATACATAAATTGAACGGTCCTTATCCATGAATAATTAAAAAATAAGAGCTACCAGTAGAGGGGGGTTAACATGCAACATATAAAACATGCATGCATGCATGAGCAGCAGCCAGCACAATGCTATTGGTCAATATTATATGAACATACAGTAGTTCAATACACCACTAGTGTGTTTTCTAAACTTTACTGAACAGGTCTTCATGTTGGAAACTTGTCAGATCAGTCACTGAGAAAATAAGCTGCACAATCCTAGCAGTAAACGCTGCTCATGTATAGTGCATGCTCAGATTATATTCAGATGGTGTTGTGTAGCTATTTTACGAGAAACCAGTGAATTCGATCTCAATGCGGAGTAACACGAGAAACAGCCTCCGGTGGCACATACATACACACACATACACACACACACAAACATGTCATGATACAAACGAACACTCTGTACATGCATATTGCATTTAGAGTTGTTACAACATATTACCCACCTGATGAGCAGGAGATGAGGAACACTCCAAACGCCAGCTTCGTTGCAGGTCCCATTTTTCAATCTTCTGTCTTGTCCTACAAAATCCAAGACTCTCTGCATTCAAGTTTCCCCTCGAACTACTGATCAGCAGTCAGTGAAACACATCCATGTAACCGAGTCAGTGATATATGGCAGTGCACAAATCCAATGGCAGATTATAGTCCTCAGATTCAGCGACTGGGAAACGGCATCAAAGTGTCCACTAGTGACAGTTCATTTAAAGCAGACGAGCTTTTCGAAATAAAGCGATCTATGACTGTCCATGCAGTTTTCCGGAAAACCCATATCAATAACGAGGAAATTCCTACGAATAATATCTAACGTTATACAATCTTGCCCTGTCGAGCGCTCAGAATAAACGAGCCCGTTCAATAAGATCTTTCAGTAGATGGGCCAGCTCCCATTTCCAATGAACAGAACTGGACAGCATATGCATAGAACCCGCCATAAAATATGTATAAAATATTGTTATTAATACAAAGGAACTAATATTTCAAGCAGAGCAATGCCTCACACCCACCTGAAAAGTCTATGGCAGTTCACTAAATGCATGCATATTTACGGGGATAAAAATGGAATTAACATCCCTATACGATATTTCCACATCACGCTTACTTTGCTTTTAATTTTATTTTATTTTTTAAATATATATATATATAATATATATGTAGTATAACTGATCATAGATAAATGGGGTCACGCGCACGATTCAGCGCACGCGCGAGCTCAAGTTGACAGTGAAGGACTTAAATATGGCCAAACGCGCTATATCCACATTCCATTCGGGTGTTAATGACTCAAACCTGCAATTACCAACCTCACAAAGCTTTTCGAGAACTGCTAAGGTGGGTAGTTAAAACAAGCACTCGTTTTAAACTAAGACATGTCGACGGCTGAATAAAGCTTAGCATGTACAGCCTCCGAAATAACTTCATCAGCCCCGTCGGGAATATGACGCCAAAAATGAGACGGAATTGACAGATAACGTCACTAAATGTAATCCTTCAAAATGTATTTTCCCGGTGATCGCAGTCGGTTGACTTTTTAGAGCGGTCGAACTCAATTTATCGCGATTTCACTATCCGTTGCTGTCAGTCACCGTTGGCTTACTGTATTCAAGATGGACGCCCGGGCGGATTGTTTTTGTTTTTTTCTGTCTCCCACTGCCTTTACCCGCCCATTTTCTTACGTAGGCTCAGCACCGTAGCGATTGACAAGCTTTTTACCCAATCAGAATCGCATATGTAAATAATTGAAACCAACCATAGCTGGGTTCACATAAACCCAGCCCTCTCTATGAGGGGTTTGTGTGGCAGTAGAGTGACGAAGGTAGGCAGTAAATATTCACTGTATGTTAATAGTAGTGTAGGATACTATCGTACCTGTGATGTAACCCTCTAATTTATGAAAAGGCGAATTCAAATGAAGTATTGTCTGTTTTCATTTGATGTTGCAGCAGTTGCACCTTGGTAGACATTGGGAAGACCGAGGCTATTTCTCACGTGGGGAAGTTGTCACCATTTTTATATCATAATAACACTATAGCCTAAGGTTTTGAGTCTAAAGTCCAATTACAGAAGAGTGTTTTCTCTATGCATAGAACCCACCATAAAATATATCTAAAAATGTTGTTGTTAAAGCAAAGCAACTGATATTTCAAGCAGAGCAATGCCTCCAAATCACTCCCACTAAAAAGGCAGTAGAAAAAGCTAAATGCATGCACATTTACGGGACACTATGGTAACACTTTATTTCTATAATCCACTTTAGACATTCTCCTAACGATAAGTAACTTTGCAACAGGTCAACTACCAATCATTATAGTAGAATGTCTGTTGGGGGACCATCAAAATGTTGGGGGACCATCAAAATAAGGCGTTATAGATTTTAAGGAGACAGTCTCTAAGTATACTTTGCAAGTACATGCAAATTATTCTACTAACCCTAACAGTCTACTTATACTCTGATAGTTAGTTGACATGCAGTCTTTCTTTTTGTGTCTTTTTTACTCTAAATGTGGTCATAAAAGTGTTACTTAGTGTCTTTTCAAGAACTAGTGATCTGGACTAGACCGGATTGTCTTTTTTTTTTTTACTCTGAACGTGCACATAAAATGCATAACAATTACTCAAGTATTATCTAGTCACTCTGCAGGAATTAGTGATGTGGACCATTATTTTTTTTTCACTTTAAAATTATGGTTCAGACTCCAGATCACTAGTTCTTGAGGAGTAACTATAACACTTTATTAATTAGGGATGCATTTTATGACCACATTCAGAGTTATAAAAAAAAAAGAAATTTCTCATGTCTCAGACACGTTAATATTATGATTAGTAATTAATTGGTAATTCTTTATAATTTTTCATAGTTATTAGTTCTTAATGAGGCCAATCTCATTAAGTAATCATTAATTACCTACCGGTAATAAGGAACTATCTCAGCCCTAAATGTGCTATTTCTTACTGATTAGTTAATCTTGTTTTCATATTAGTTAGCTGAAGTGTTAATATAGTACTACTCATTTGTCTTGCATTACTTCCTGCAAAGTCACATATTAACATTATTTTAAAGTGTTACCCATAATTGTTATACTATTTAAATTTAGCAGAAAAGCAGTTGTTAAGTTTGGCATCCCTGTTTCTGTGTTCAAATGCTCAACAACAAACGTGCTATATACACTTATGGTGTGCAGTACTGAAAAATACTTTATCTCCATTGCAAAATCTCAGTTGGCCAGACAGTGATTAATCTTTTCTGAATCTCTAAAATGTTGGTGTCCAGACACTGTGGGTCTGGAGACTGCATCTTGTTTTAAATTTGTGTTATAAATGAATACTGCTCTTACACCGTTTTTTTTAAGATAGTATTCTAACTTGAAACAGAGTAGAGGCTTGTTGTACACCGAAACGGTTTTCGATATGTCACAACTTAACAACCAGATAGGCTATTTGATGCCATGTTCCCTTATGACAACTTCCCCCGTAGTGTGATTCCCGCTATTGACATGTCCAATAACAGTGATGATGTTTAAAAGCTTTTTATAGATAAGACTAAGATATCAGCACACAATCATTTATTTGCACAGGAATCAAATGAAATGGAAACAATCACAGAAATACATAGAGAGGTGTAATGAGTCATTTATTGTTTTACTCTTACTAAAAAACATTAAATGCCTGCATGGTGGATGAGAAATCATTTGTCATTGTTGTTGATGAAAGAACAAAAGCTTGTGGATGTTTCGCCTTAATAGCATAGTTGCCTTTAAATAAAATATCATTCATTTTCTTTTGCTTCATAAATGTAATCCCAATGATTTTATTTAGTCGCATGTTGACTAGAACGTCTGAATTCATAGCAGAGGTTGAAGTGCACTTATACTTCAACTTTATCTTGCATTATAAAGCATATTAATCTTTATATGAGCTGTAATACAAATTTGTACACCTCTGTGCTAACCAGTTGTTGATTTTAATATGCTTTTGTGCATAAATGTGTGTTGTCATGATCAGGAGTGACCATTGTGTGAAGCAGCTTTGTGTATTTTAATTTAATTTAATCTAGGCCTAATGCAAAAAAAAAAAAAAAAATCAGACATTTAAATGTACTATAACAAATCTAGTAGCATAAGATAGGTAACCAGACAATTTTTAAATGAAAAGCATCATAAATCTACACAAGGTCTCCACAGAGGACTGTTCTTAGTGATTTGTGTGCTGCTCTCATTGTAACATAATAGCAACTCCCAACCTGGCCCAATGCAGCCTATGTAATCTGATCCACAAATATTCACACATAATCCTGATGCCCTATTTAACCATAAGCATTTTTTTCCCATTGCTGCAGTGATCTGAACCTTTGTTGAAGTCTTTCTGTTTCTTGATTCGGTGTATGCAATGAAAGAGCTGAAAGCTTTGGAACTAAATGTGAAAAGAGCACTCTGGAGCATATTTCACAAGTGAAATGTCAATTTCCCACCAACCTGAGGTGACTTTGGAAATATTCAAACTAAGCTAGTGTGAAGGTCAAAGACATATGATCAATGACAGTGCCCACCGCACTTTGTCTCCCTCTCCTGATATTTCAAACCCGAGAGAATGCTGAAGAACGCTCTTTTCTACCAACCTCCACACCTCCTCTTTCCCTTTTAAAATGAACCAATGCAGTTCCACAGTAGATAGAGATGCATGGATGGATGCATCTTTAAATCAAGTTTTGTTTTGTTTTACATTTGAACACAGTTAAGTGAGTTTATGCTTAAAACAAGAACAGATATCTGTCAATGAGTTATGAAAACTTTCCTTTGAATTTAATTAGATTTTTCTGAGCCCATTTGACAGATATTTATTAATCATTAATCATAAGTTATTTTTTTAATCATAAAACACTTCATTTTGATAATTTTAACAGAAATCAAGACTTCATATTTCATACTTTCCTGCGATCAGAGGGACAGTAAAGGATATTTCCATATTCTAATGATTGGGAGCAGAACGATTATTATTATTATTATTATTTTTATTTATTTTTTTGTAAAATGAATTAGACGTAATAGAGATCTATTGGAAGTTGTATTTTCCAAACTTTGAAGTGTTGCTAATACAACTCATTTTGTTTCTCCCTAGACATTTACATTTAGAGAACATGTTGTTTTTACTTCAGTTTATTCCTTAAAATTTCCTTACTTGGTCATTAGAGGACTATTATTAGTACTAGTATAACATAATTTTGGGGGTTTATATTTCTGACATGTTCTTTCACACAGTAATGTAAAACAGTTATGAAAAGGAAATTGACAGCATGTACAGACTACAGAGCATCTTTTCTTCCATTCGCCACAGATAGCAGTTCACTAGGCCGTCATCTGCTCTGTGCTGATCAACAGGAATTATTTCTCTATTGCTCAAGGCCAGAGCAGTGTTGTCAAGCAATTACAAAGATTCCCTGCCATTACCAGGAAACCTCATTGTTCCATATTGTGCAGCTAATGATTTTGAACGTTTGGTCTAGAATGGAATTACTCTTTTGTGGCCTTTGAGGGACTGTCAACTTGACCGTGAGTGGCTGTTAAGTGTTTATCTCCTTTCCAGCTCACCGTAATTAAGAAAATCGGAATTTATCTACAGTAGCCGTGCGCTCCCATGGAAGGTCATTACAATAACCCATTGAAATTACCCATTTTATCGACCTTGTGACACACAGGAACCTCTTTGCTCAGTCAATCGCACGCACCGCACAATGCTTGAGTGGATATTTAACACATACTTCAACTGACATCATGCACACATGCTCTCTACTGGACCACAAAGAATATTCTGCCTTGCAGGTTGACTGCAGGAATTCTGCAGATGCCTAACATATTTCTTCCTGTGAGTTCATTAACTTTTAATCATAGTTCTAAACGTGCCAGGGATTATCCTGATATATTTCAAAGGGAGCGTGTGAAATGGCAGCGCATCTGTCAGTGCTTGTCATACCCGTCGGACCGGGCGTCCTTGGGCCGATGGACATGTGGCTCTGGCTAATTAACATTTTCCTTGGTGCTTTATCTGCCACTGCTGCATGCCCAATAATTATGCATAACCTATGGTCAGGCCCCAATCACAATGGACCTGGGTCTTTGTATTTGTACTAACATCAGGCTAAATCAATGAATTAGTAGAGTGTCAAAGATGAAATCAGATGATTGCGTATTTGATGCAAACATAACCCCTGCCTGGAAAATGAGCTCTCAAAAACTAAGCCACATTCTTGCGTCTTATATTACCTCTTCCTGCTCGTGGCTAAGCACACAGTCTAAGCACTGGCAAATCACATTACATCCTGTTCTCTTAAAGCACATTAATGCTGAGCCTTGACACGTGACAAGAATACCCCTATTCATTCACCATAACAGCAAATCAAGGCATCATCTTCCACTTCCCTTTCATTTTCTTTGATTTAATTATTTTATGGCAGCCTTAACGATGCCCTATCATTTATCTCTGAAAGATGTAATCAAGTCTCAAATGCTAAATTACAGCTATTCCACTGACCGACCTTCTACAATAATAGCTAGAAAGATCTGAAAACAGTCCTGAAATGTATTCTGGGAAAAATACTGGATGTATGCTTGAGATATCCATGGTGATGTGGGTTTAAC